GGATCGAACTGCAGTCGGCCATGTGGGAGTCCAGTGACGTAACCGCTATCCCGTCTGCTGGACCCTACATGCCTGTCTTTGTCTGCAGCTCTGGAGGCTTCTTAAGAATTGAGAACCTGACTACTTTGGTCTCTGTATCCTTAGCATTTTGTAAGAATTAGGTATCTTTGAATTGATCTTGAATGAAATAAAGATATATATATTTTTTTAAAAAAAATATATAGATATGTATAATATATTTACAAAGCTTAAAATTGAAACAGTCTAATAGGGTGGGTGGAAGTATGGGAAAGATTTAAAACCCCTTATCTAATCAAGGAATCTCCTCAGTGCCCCTTCACCACACCCTTTGCAAGACTGGGTCTTCAGAAAAGCAAACACGTGCTAATTCATGCCATTGGCCACTCATTATGTCTTCCCCTCAGTCTTACTCAGTCCTCTTGGCAAGGTCTTAAATGCTCGTGTTTGAAAACAAGTTCCAGTGCTGGGAAAATTGCTTTCTGTTTAGCTGGAGTGTAGTTGTGGGGCAGAGCCTTCCCAGATGTACTTGCCCGCGAACTGTTGTTTTCTTTCCGGAAGAATGACAGGATAGCTTGGGAGCAGCGTTAAGAGCACTTTTAACCTGGTAAGACCCAGTTTACTGTACTTTGACCGGCCTCTTAATGGTCTTTATGGCCGTGAATCTATCTGGGGTAGCATTGGCAGCTCAGTTGAGTTTGCACATAGCTTGGTTATGCAGTTAAGGGATGCGGCCCCAAGCAGAGCAGAGAAGTATCAATTCACAGGTAGTTCAGGGCCTGCACCTCAGTGATTGGCCCCAGATCCCCAGGGCTCCTGCACTTAGCTCCTCTTTCACTAACCTGTCCTGTTCCTGCACTGGCAGGGTTGTGGTGAAATTGTAAACACTGTTACTTATTTTAAAAAACGTTATTATTTATTATTAGTAGTAGTAGTAGTTTTAATTTGACCAGAGAAAGAGAGAAGCCGAGAAAGACAAAGTGAGAAAGCAAGCTGCCAGATCCGAGACTCCAACCGCAGTCAGCCATGTGGGAGTCCAGCGTCTTTAACCACCACGCCACCTGCCGGCCCCAACACTGTTATTTAAATACTGGTAATATCACACGTGGTCGCTATAACTTTGGGAGGAGTTACTTGGCGCTCTGTAACATTTGCTACTGCAAATGATGGACAAGAATGAAAAGCTCTGTATTTATTACAGTGCTGTCTATTATAACAAAAACCCGTGCCTGATGTTGCTCTGTGGCAAATGTGTTGACTAATCGTGGCACTTCAACGTGACAGATTATTATAGAACTTTGAAAACGTGTTTTTCAAGGTGATGTAGGTACTTGGAAATGTTTTACTACCCAATTAGTATCAAGAAAAGCTGAATGCCAGGCATCCTAATTTGAAACATAAACACCAGGTCAGAGGTTAGAAGTAAATATGCAAAAACATACAATTTTCCTTAAGCGATGAGATCATGGGCATTTTCTGTCTTTAATGATAATGATCCCTTTGTTTTTTGACCAATTTTAAGACTTTGAAATAAGTACAGATTTATAGAAACATTGTTGATTAGTAAAGAGTTCCTATAGATCCCTCATTCAGTTTCTTCCATTGTTATGGGTAACTATGGTTTTAATAGCATTTTTGTTGGGCCCAGCAGTTGGTGTAATGGCCATGTCACTGGACTCCCATGTGGTCGGCTGCTGTTCGAGTCCTGGACCCAGTGGCTTAAACCCACGCTGGGGGTGTGTGCGCATGTGTGCCCAAGATTCCGAGAGCAGAATGGAGGAGAAGGGATTGCGGCGTGGTTATCCCCGCTGGGAGGGTGATTTCTCACTTTGTGTCTCTGTCTTTCTGATGAGCGCACACGCCCTATAGCAAAAACCTCTCAAAAAAAAAAAATTTTTTTTTGTCATTTGACGTGAAAAAAGAATATTCCGAGGATGACTGATGTTCATTTTAATAATCAGCCTTGTCCCTCCCGTGTTAGTAATCTGGAGTATATCTTGCCATACCTTTATCGCATCTCTTACAAGCCTGTATGGGTATATTATAACAATGTGTGGTAATAGGCGTATCATTCTACAACTTGCTTTTCACTTTGTAATACGCAATGGATGTTCAGTGGTCTACAACCCTGTGTTAAAATCATCCGGGTACTTTAAAAATACTGATACCCTGGGCCAGCAGATGGCATACTGGTTAAGGCTCTGGACTCCCACATTGTCAACCACAGTTCCAGTGCTGGACCTGGTGGCTTGAAACTCAAACCAGGTGCATGTGTGCACGTGCCCAAAATTCAGAGAGGAGAATGGAGGAGATGGGATTGTGATGTGGCCCTCCTTCCTGGGGAGTGATTTCTCACTGTCTCTCTGTGTCTCTAGCAAGTGCATGCACCCTATAGCAAAAATCTCTCTCTCAAAAAAAATTCCAATTCCCAGTCTCATCCACTGAGGTTTTTCTTGCCTGGAGGTGGGGTCGGGAGTCAGAATTCTTGTTAAACTCCCTACATGATCCAATGCTCGAGGCAGGTTTAAGAACTACCGCTCTAGGTAGATAACCGTCATAGCTAGATTGAGTTATGATAGTATGGCTAACCAAGGATTTATGCAGGCTTTCACATTTTCACTACCTTTTGAACACTGCTGTAGTCAGCACCCCAATGTACCCTTCTTTATTGTGTTTTCTATAAGCCGGGCCTCAAAGTGGTTTACTGGGCCAGAGTGTATGTGAGAGAGAGAGAGAAAGAGAGTGTGTGTGTGTGTGTGTTTATTTATTCATTTATTCATTCGTTTTTAGGTTTTTGTCATAGGGTATGTGCGTTTGCCAGAAAGAGACAGAAGGAAAATGAGAAGTCACCCCTTGGGGTGGGGAGTGGCCCTGTCTCAATCCTTCCTCCTCCATTCTCCTCCTGGGATTTTGGGCACACATATCATGCAGCTGGCATAAGTTTCAAAGCCAGTGGGTCAAGAATTGAGCTGTGATTGGCCATGTGGCAGTCCAGAGCCTTAACCACCTTGCCACCTGGAGGTCCTGTGAATATGTGTTTTTTTGTTTGTTTGTTTGTTTTTTTGCTATAGGGTGTGTGCGCTCGCCCGAAAGATAGAGACAGAGAGACAGAAAGCGAGAAATCACCCCCCAGGGGGAATGGCCACGCCGCAGTCGCTTCTCCTCCATCCTCCTCTCAGGATCTTGGACACGCATGCACACGCGCCCGGTG